CTGCTACATATTTAAGTACCGTTAAAGGTAGTGTGCCAGCTTTCTTGGACCGTACACTGTAAAAAAAACTTACAAGCCCCTCGTAGAGGAATTCTCAGCGCAAAAATAACATTGCAGGAGCGTGTAAATTTGGCTAATTTTAGGCTAGTTGCCGAGTAACAAGCTTGTTCGACAAGGCTGTGCCTCGTATGCATACGACCACCGTGCTCCACCTAGTTTGACAACACGCACGTAAATAGCGTGGGTAGTGCGTCTACTAGGTGTCATAACAGCCCCTGCCTGGTAAGGTAACTAGCCACTGCCTACTAATCCATACCCAGTAATGGTACTAGCCCCCAAGGCTAGTAATGGTACTAGCATTCCGTCGACGGAATTCCGTCGACCGTGCCTCGACCCCGAAGACCAGTAGTGGCACTATTTAACTAGTACCACTACTGGTCTTCGGGGTCGAGGCACGGTCGACGGAATTCCGTCGACGGAATTCCGTCGACCAGTGCCCCCGACTCTCGACCGCCACCCGCAAGTAAACAGACTGAGTAGCGCTGCAGCACATTTATTCGGGCACGAGAACGAGAACGAGAACAATAACAACGCCAGGACAATAACTATAACTTTAACAACAACAACAACAACAACAACAACAACAACAACAACAACAACAACAACAACTAACTGAATAATTTTCAATAAGGTTTCTTAAATAACCACCATCAAACATTTGTGATTTTTTCATTAGCTCTGCACCGGCGGCAGTCGCGGGGTGCAGGTAGGCCAGGACATACATGGCCCCATTCTTCACCAGAGAAGTCTGTAATGGGTGAAAAACGAATATTAACATTATTATTATCATAAGGCATACCAATCTGGAAAATGATTAAATTAAAGTTGAATAAAGTGATAGATTCCTGCCACAAGCTAGCTTAAGTCCCAAACATATAGCTATTCTGACTTGGATAGACGATACCGGCGCACTTCTGCCAACGACGGGCAACATTATGCGATACTATACATCTTCTAAGAAGCTCAACAACATAATAACTTTTGTTTACAAATGGACAACCTTTTTGTTGAGCACACAGCAAATGATACAAGATGCCTCACCTTCAATCAAGCCAAAGAGCAGTTGGGCAGACACACACAGCAATGGCGACGCAACACAAAATGGACGCCGGCTCCCGGAAGCGGGGGGGGGGGGACTCCTTCTGAAAGCAGCCACAGACTCCTAGGTTGTAACATGCGACGAGGATAGCTATGAGGCACATCCTCATAGCCATCCGAAGCCGCTTACCACGCAAGCTTGCCAGCACGTTTACCAGCTGCAGGCGTTCGTGACAACAAGCGGGGTTGCACGCAAGGTTATCCGTTTAGTAGGTGCCAGCCGGGGCCTCGTCAGCTGAGCTAATAGCGAAATGACCTAATTGAGGGACACGCTAAAAACTGGCCGAGAACAAGCCAACGGCGGGTAACACTGTGAGGCTGTGCGTAGTTCATTAACACTGCGCAAAATTAGGTTCCTGAACATGTTCTCGCTCGTAGGCATTTGTTCCACAAGCGGCATTGTTAACGTGCATGGCTCTGACTACTAATGTCCATATATGTTGTAACGAGGAGCAAGGGAGGCACTCGTAAAAAATGCCTAATTTCAAAATTAGCTAGTGAATATTTTTTACAGTGTATGGAGTTAATGGCCCAGATAAGGAGAACCGGATTTTTAGAACTTATCCATACCTTCAAAACTCATGGAAACGTCTTAAATTCTTCAAATTTTGAGTACCCCAGTGCGAAATTCGCCCCGACGGGTTGTCGGTCGTACCCCAACCACATTTCACACCACTATGAACAATAAATGCACACACTGAAATCGCTATTACCGATATGCTCATCCAATCAAGTTTCGATAAACCCGTTCATCATCATCTCCTGCGGTTTCGAACACGCCTGTTAGGTGGCTTCTGATGCTCGTCGAGGTCGGAATTTCCAAATACGCGTGGTGCGTCGGGCCGCGCGCTCTGACTTCGGCCAAGAAAAATGCGTCAGCTGATCATTGTCATTTCTGCCACTTGCGTGTGGTGAAATGGGGTCATAACTTATAAGACGGCTTTTTCATATCAATTATTTTACATAAAATCATATTTCAAACCATAAATAATGTTCGACAGCCAAATAAAAGAAACAATACCAATACGGGCTTACAGTTTAAGGCTCGACATTGTGTTGTCTACGATTAGACAGCTGATAACTCATTCCCGTACGTCGTATGGTCGTAACACTATAATGACCTTTGCTTATTGTCACAAGTGCGCCGCATTCGCGATTGTTGCCCGACGCCTGTTTGCAGGTGAGCCCACTACAGTTGTTATACATATCTAAAAACCGAAAAACTTTTAGGCGAAAAAGGCACTATTCCAGGCCCATTTTTGATTTTTTTTTGCGATATTAGGTAAAAACAGAAGCTTCTTATCCTAGGAAAAAATAAAATAGGAAATCTTTCAAAGGTGGCACACTACCTTTAAAGTGCCGTAGAGCTAGTGAGGACCACGCGTCGACTCCTAAAAGCCCCACTGAACTGAAAAGTAAGAAAAGATCCCATGCTAGCTTCTGAGGGACTCAAACCGCCTCTAAGGGCCCTTTGCCGGCACTTGTGAACACCACTCCGGTCTCCCCCTCCCTTTGCCGTGTGTCGCTCCTTGGCCGTCAACACGCCTTAGTGTCTCCACCGCTAGGTGGCTGTTTAGACACGGATCTTCGAAGATTTTTAAAAACCATTGCTGATCTTTATTAGCCCAGCCGAGCTGTTAAAGGGACCCTCCCACCTTAACATTAGTTTTGAGTTGAGATAGCCAAGTTTGCGGCCAGGCTCAGAAACCACCATTTATCCTGGTCGCAACCCCCGCAGCTTTATGATGTTCAAGAAATTTCTTCCCTTTACTTGCAGGGTGGGACCAGCGTGGTCCCTATCTCTTAACCATTACGGGAGTCTGATGACGTCATCAGGCTTTCGAACGTCCGTTAAATGTTTGACTAAAACGTTTTGTACCACGCGGTGGTATATGCTGCTTTGCGCGCAACAAATGCCGCACTTTCAAATAAAGTCGCTAGGAACAGCGGAGATCCCCAAAAGTAAACAAAAGTAAAAGTCTAATATCTTGAAAACCGGTGAATATTTTTAGATGAAATTTGGTAGATATTCGTTTTTGCTCTTTCTGAACCGAGCGACATCACTTTCATGCCAATTCATTAACTTTTTTGAAGGTGGGAGGGTCCCTTTAAGGCAGCACAGGGTTCCTCAGACCCAAAACCGGTATCTCAGGGCCCACGTGTGTCTCCGCGAGCAGGGTTGCGGGGTCGGGGTTGGAGTCGGTTGGAGTCGACAGCTCTGACCGTGAGTCGGAGTCGATCTTGGAAGCCGGGGTCGGAGTCGAGTTGAAGGCACCGAAAAACACATCACGGAAACCGTGCGTGTAAGAATATGAATTTCTCGAAGGACGAATCGATTGCCTTGATCATTTTCAACTTCTTCTGAATGAGGATCGGGAGCATCCACTCGGGGCCCGTCTTAGGGGGAGGGGTCCTACAGACCCGCTGTGCACCTTCTCCATCAAAAGTCTCTGCCCTGCTACAACTGGCGTGCCGGGTAGTGGGTAAAGCATTGATTTTGCCGAAGCTGTCCGCTCTAACGAATATTGTTTGTACATTTCATAGCTAGAGGAAAAAAGCTTTGCCACCACTGCATTCCTCGTGCTATAGCGCGTTGACTGGCATATAAAACGTGTTGGTACTGACGTCTTCCTAGAAAGGCATGATTGAACATCAAATTTGGTTTTATCCCCCGCCCGAAACGAAAATCTTTTTCGACTCCTATGGATTCATCGTATCGGTTTATTTGCCTAAATATTTTTGGCATGCTACTTTCAAATCAAAAGCATTCATTATTACTTTTCTGAACACAATTTACAATCTTAAATGAAAGAAAAAGGCGCAAGAGGCCACAAGTAAGCTTCCAGTGAAAACTTCAGCAGTGTTTAATTGTGAGGGCAGCAAGCGCCCGACGATTTGGCTAGATTGTGCCCTAAAGATTATGCACCTGGTCGCGACTTTCCTGTTCGGTTCCATGCTTACCGACGAGTGATTTTAATCATGTAATTAGGCACCATAAAAACGGTCGGGTACTGGTAAAGATTGGTTTTCTAGAATACAATGATATCAAGTAAAAACTATACCCAAAGAAGTAGTTTACTAATGTATGCAAGTGCTTTTTTGACAGTGTGTGGGACATGAGCGATTCAGTAGCGTTTTGCACAAAACGGCACACGATTTATGTTCAAAACCAACGCTATTGAGTCGATTGAAGTCATTGGCTTTGTATCGCAGTGGGGATTAATGCCTATTGCCTATCGGAGCGCCACATGAGTCATAAATGCACATATTTTTGCAACAACAATGCTGTATTGTAGTGGGAATGTCGGCCTTTTGATTATCCCACAAAATCTGGCGATACGCGGTAATAGGGCGGCACGGGCGCATTAGTTTGGTTTACGGTGTCTTTTAGTCATGTAGTTACTTGGTATATAACTTTGAAAAAGAATGACCTGTTGAGCGAGCAGGGAACACCGAGCGATGGGCTGATTCTTCGCACTTTGTAACAATGAACGCGATTTGGAAGTTTGTTATTCACAGCATCAGGTGTAGTATATCAAGTTCACCGTACTTTTACAGCGCAATCGAGGCAAAACATTTGACCACTTTCCCTTCTTGGGGCATAGAGTCATGTCAGAAAGATAAAATCCACGACCTCGTGACTGGCGTGGATAATCCCACGCTGACAGCTGCGGGTTTTCTGCACTTTCGGGCGCGGGCTGCGGCAGCAGGAAAAGTGCCCGTGCACTTTTTCGAGGCGTGTCCGCCCAGGTCGCTGGCGGTGAGGAGACGGGCGATCACGTGACCGGTGGGCAGACCTTTGGGCAGTCCATAAAGGGATGCTCGCCGCGCCGGCCGGCACAGTGCCTTGACGCGCAGGTCGCCGGGTGGCCGCAGCTGGGGTGTGCGTGGAGCGCGAGGGACGTCTGCAGGTGTCAGCCGACTCCGTTACCTATCGAACAGGTCACGCACCCCAGCCGCCGACATGGTGCTTCCGTGGTGGACTCTGCTGTTGTACCTGCGCAACGCCAGGAGCGTTCCGCCAACAGCCTACAACTACACTGCTCCGGAGACCTGGCAGGAGACGTTCCCAATGTGCGGCGGGCCCATGCAGTCGCCGATCGCGCTGACCCCCAACCGACTCAAGATCATCAAGGCGCCGGCGCTGCAGTTCGCCGACCACCTGGAGAACGGCATGATCGAAGCTGAGAACACCGGCCGCGAAATCAAGCTGAAGCTGCTGCCTCCCAACCCGGATGAGTCGCTACTCAACCTCTTCTCCTTCGACGGAGAGACGCTGGGTATCTACGAGTTCGCACAGATGCACTTCCACTGGGGCGATGTGCGTCTCAACCACGGTTCAGAGCACGCCATCGGGGACAAATTCACGGACGCCGAGGCTCACTTCGTCTTCTACAACAGCCGCTACGACAGCTTCAAGGAGGCGGCGCGCCGCTTCGACGGCCTTCTGGTCATCGGCGTGCTCCTCAAGGGTACCGAAGACGAGTCCAAGGGCCTCTTCCCGACTCTGGGCATCGAGAAGCAGATGAAGGCCGTCTCCAGTCCCGGCAAGAAGCTGCGTGCGCGCGCTGACCTGCGGCCATTCCAGGACGTGCTCCGACGTGCCGTGAAGACGTACCTCAGCTACCACGGCAGCCTGACCACGCCGCCCTGCAACCCGGTCGTCACCTGGATGGTGGCCAGCAAGCCCATGTTCGTCAGCTACAAGTTTCTGGAGACGTTGACCACAAACGTCTATGAGGATGACGACGGCATGGACTTGTTGGTGAACAACTGCCGTCCGCTGCAGCCCCGGCACAAGCGCGTTGTCACCCAGTTCATCAGCTTCGAATAGCTGATGCTGATTGCTGCCCGTGAGAGGTGCCAGTGAGATGAGAGCTTTGGGGCGGTGGTGCATGTGAGAGCTGGGACAGTGGAGAGCATGCGTGCGTGACACTGAATGCGGCGTGATTTTTGACACAGCTGGCTCTGTCAAATTGTTTGGGCGTGCTTGTGGGTCCATGGGCCATGGCACACCATAAAGTGCGCGTGCGTGTATAGTATGTATTTATTTGCGAACTGAGTGTGCAGAGGAGCAGAGTTACCATATCAAAACCTCATCAGTGAATATCTGTGCCATATGTGTCATACTGTGTCAGCGTCACAGTCCAATGTTTGTTCTAAGCTTGTCGCATATTCGATGAGGCTAATCGAGCAATATGTCAAGTGGCCATGTGCTCTCATAGTGTTTATTGTAGTTCTTTTGAATTGTATTGTTGCTTAATATCAGGTACCAGTGTTTAAACGATTGTAAATAAACTGAAACCAATATCACTTCGTTTCTCAGAATGATATCAGCAACGAACTGTACCAGTTAAAAACTATTTATTCACCGAGCACATCATACTCCGTTTTATAGCATCATCTCGCAATATGAAAAGATAATAAGGTCCGAACAACCTCCCCAATTTCGTTGTACTCGCGAAAAGCCCGAGATCAACACATGGCAAAGCAGACAGTCTATCACAGAACAATGAGGTAACTCCCTCGCAAGGTATAGTTAGATGCTTCAAATTTCAAAAGAATAAGCACTAAGCTAAAAAGACATCACATTTTGTACAGCTATTAAGAGACACACTGAACCTAGTTTGTCCAAATCTGCACCTTATCTGCACCAAATGTGCACCAAATGTGTACCAGATGGCCGTCGTGAAAACGGCTACTATGCACCATAGATTTCCGAAAACGTTAGAAGTGCATTACTCTTTTGTTTTTGAAATTGCGGCTTCTGCAATAAAAAGGCGTTGAATGGCAATTACAAATGTCAGATGAAAGTGTCATTGACGAACGTCGAAAGTGACGTCGAAAGCGTCGGACGAAAGTGGCATTTTTGGAATGATCGGCCTATAGGTGATATTGCTTCAAACATTTACTGGTCAGAATCATGCATGCTATACCGTAAAAACCAGTATGAACCACTGCAAATCATATGTAGTGATCTATGTGAGAACATATTCCTGTCCTAGTGCTTATGTCAAAGTATACTAGATAGAAATGCTTCCAGAGGTGTGCTGAGAGGTCAATGTCGCCCGACCTATTCCGGTCGATTACATAAAACTTGTATTTTACGATCTAAGAAACTACACCTTCTTGGAGTGGGTGGTTTCATAACGTTAGGAGGGCGTATTACGCGCCGTTGTCTGCCTCATTTCTTTTTCGTTGTATGTTATTATCTCCGCTAGTTTAAACATAGTTTAAAACACCAAATGATTGTGTCCTTTAATTAACTCTCTTTGAAACCGCTTGGGAGTGAATTGCAACCAAATGGGTGGGAAACTGCGTCAGACGTAGCTAACAACCTTTTATGAAATCAGCCGCAAGACGAACAACGAACGGCCTCTTGACGTATACTGTATAAAATGTGCAATATATTAAGGCTTCAGATTCATTCTGTTTTCACGGGTAAAACTCTTTTTCTTAAAGCGATGTTTGTTAAGGGTCAGCAACAGAATAATGTGCCAACGCTCATATTTAAATGACGCTGATGACTTTAAGAAATGATGCGTGCTCAACACGATCAGTATTGATTAGTGGATGATATGAGTGTTTTGGAAAATGAGTGCTTGGACTGGGAATTGGATGGTCTGAACTCAAGAGCTGTACTTAACATTAGGTTCACCTCAGTTGCGACTGAGTGGCACCCGTATGCTTTCCCGGCTTTATATGTCAATCATTGATTTTATAATCACGCAAAACAAATAACACGATTTTCATGAGCACTACAGCTAGACGTGCTACTGCTGATGGTTAGAAAAGACCACTTGTATACATACAAGCCTATTTTTTTTTAAAGCTTTTGCATGAACTAGGTTATGTAATTATGCTAACAGTCTGAGATAACAGCGTTAGAATTCCCAGCTATCGATGTTCCAAAAAAGGACTTTTCCTACCCAGCGTTATTTCCTTACCTACAGCGTTGTTAGATATGCGACATGCGTGTTGACATCAACAGGTCTGTCAAGACAGCTCATTTTTTCGTGACGTCAAGGCATAAAATGATTCTTTTTTGGGCTGCTGGAGTGAGCGTTAGGACATCACCACCAAGTTGGGCGTCACCTTTTAGATAAACATTTAAAATGCGCCTAATGCTTTACTGGAAAGTGAATACCTCTTCGTCAAAGCTTACATCATGCAAAATAGCGCCTCCTTTTTATGCACGAGTGAATCTAACACGTTTTGGTGTTCCCGAATGACGTATCTCACACCATGCAGAATAGCATGCTTGCTTCCAAAAAGTTTGGCTAAATTCAACGAATATGATACATCTTGCATATATTTCGTAAATTGCACGACTCCTGCACACACACAAAAATAGAATATGAAATAATGCACATACCATATGGATCATTAGTTAAAACTATTCTTATATTGCATGAACCGACCGTGATGCGCTCGATGAGCAACTGTATTTTCTTCAGAGGTTAACAATTTCACGATACTTACCCACCTATTTCGCCGTTTTGAGCTTTCCACTCAGCAAAAGACGTCTATTCACGTTCTTAGTGCAATGGTTGCCCTTAAACCCCTAAAAGTGAGCACATTCAGGTTAACTCATGAAACAAGTGCGTTCACTTATTGCAATACGGTAATATGACGCTAGGAATTTCCAATCTTCCTAGCTTTTCCTGTGAAATTCTGAATAAGTTAATCATTATCACTTATAATTATCGCAATATTGCGTATATACGCGCAAATGTGAAAGCGTTACCAGAAGCGGCTCCGCACGTTCCGCGAGATCGGGTAATTTCCCCGACAGCACCCGACAGTGCCCCCGCGGCGCTACTCTAGTGCGAGCCTGGGAAATTCTCCCCGCCGGTTACCGCTAGTCGGACCGTCAACGCATCGCCAGCGTAAGGATAAAGCGGCGCAGCTGCGTACCGACATTTTACCAAAGGTGATCTAGATTCCTTGCGGTGAAATGATTCACCTGCGTGACTCTGTCATCGCAGTTTCCCCTACATGAGAATGACATTTTTAGAGCTGCCGTGCACCGGGCAGAGTCCATTGCACACGGTGATTTGCAGATACTGGGCAGCGGGGAGTAGCTGCTTCAAATGTCGGTGCGCATCAGACCGATGAGTCATGGGCTGTCGAATCAGCATCACTGACTTCCTACAAAGAAACTGCAAAAACACGCAATGTTTAAGGGTACTCAATTAATTGAATTATATGTACAAAGCATTGATGAAGCATAATGAGTCGCTATGAAGTGTGAATTATGATTGTACGCTTAATGACGCAGAAGAGAAATGACTGGTCTGACCTTTTGCCACACTTCTACGATTTGTATGATAGACGCAGTACTTCCCTCGCCCGGTAAGACAGTCATAAAACGTATCATCCTCATGTGCTAAGGTATTTCCCACGAATTTAGACCTATAATCACGCCTGCATCAAACTCTGTTAGCATACATTTACCCTTCACGCTCATGGGAAGGTGAAAAAGGACAAACCAAAAGGGCAAACAAGCGACGATATATCTGTGAAAACTCTAGCCTAGCGTGCACAGTGCACATGAATATACAGCAATGCCATTTTGGGCAACTGGTTATCAGAAGCAGCCCAGTCTTGTTTCTGTGTTCATTGCGTCATCAAACATCAGTCGTCGGTTGTTTGCCCACAGTGTCTATGACGGCAGCTTTGAACAGAACCTTCTGGAAAGCCCGACAGATATGCGGTGCAAAAAAAAAACGTCACGAGGGTCAGGGCAGAGTTGGGCTCGCCCAGCCTTCTCCTCTCCAATTTGGCTACCGTACGAGGGAAAAATGGTTTGGATCCCGTTGTCGTCTTCAAGCTTTTTATTATTGATTGTGATGATATAGCTACTATTTTGATATCTTTTTTTGCATACAGCTCTCAACATAAAATAAATTAAAAGTAAAAATGGCTGTTATTTTGAAACCGTGGTGAGCTAACGAATGGCATTATTTTCAGTGGCCATCTTAATTCGCTCCTAGCGAAATTCCTGGAACAAATTGTGGTAGCTTACGGCTGAATTCAGTACCTTTCAAAATTACTACGTGTGACCTAACTTTGGGTCATTGGTGTATTACGTACGATTTGGCAACAACAGTACTATCATTTGGCAGCAATGCGACCAAAATCCGTCTGTTTTCAATTGCCGTTTTCACGATGGCCATCTGGTACATATTTGATGCAGATTAGGTGCAGATTAGGTGCAGATTTGGTGCATATTCGGTCAAATTAGGTTCATTGCATTTCTTAAAAGTTGTCAATCTGGGATGCACAGATGTTTGAGACCGTTTTTGAAAAAATCATGCATTATTTTGTATTAAAACACTGAAATAAATTCATGAAAAGAAGATATTTGCTGTAAAAGAGATTAGGTGCAGATTTGGTCAAATTATGGGTGCATTCGCCGGATAGCCCGTCGTGAAAACGGCTATTACGCGCATTCGCAGATAGCCCGTCGTGAAAAAGGCTAATACGAACAAAATATGTTAAACAACATTTATTCTTCTCGCATTTAAAGGAAATAGTTCACTTTTAACATGGGATTTTGAACTGGAATAGCAGTTCTGTATAGCTTGAGCTGAGACGAGCACAAATCAGGAGCTTTTACGGCCCAACGATCACCCTAGGCAAAGATACTCCATTTTTCGTCCCGAAAAGGTGCCTTGCTGAGGAATGTGTGCCTTACAGGGGTCATTTCCTTCTTTTGAAACTGAAGAGTTCTTCCTATACTAAAATATAGAAAATAATTTTTTTTATAAAAAGGTTTCATTTTCTTTGCTGATCATTTCGAGGATAAAAAATCGAAAATCCATTGCAAAAAAGTAATTTCGTGAAAGTGATTCCCTTTAACATTATCCCTTCATTATTTTTTATCCAGCTCCTTTCAGGACTTCGGAAAGGTAGTAATAGCGCTGTTCTGACCCCGACTCCGACTCCGACTCCGGGTCTGAATAGGAAGGGCAATTGCGGCCGTAAAAAATTCACGAGATATACGAGCGTGCACAGGGATATCGCTCCTACATTCTGGTTTCGTTCACGCAGTCACCACGTGGACGTGGACGCAGCTGAATCCACAAGAGGCCAATGGCCAGCGTGAAAACCAGCAGAGAAGCGCGAGTGTCGGTATCACGACCACGAGCATCGCCATCAAGTCAGTGATCTGTGTATGTATTGTACATCGTTTAGAGCTATAAGTTTGACAAGCTTCTTCACACGACAACAATGCACCAACAAATTCCGATTGCGTGAAACTATGCAAAATGGCGCGTGCCGTAAAAAAACCGGATTATGAATGTTTT